TCTCTGGGTCGATCAAGCTCTGCTTGTCGTTCGTCAATTTCGTCACTTCCGTCTGATTCGCCGCTGTCAACGTGCGTCGTCAGCATCGTCGCTCGTCTCTGCTCGTGCGGTTGTGACCGCCTCAGTCTTTGAGCTCGGCATCTCATGTCATCTGTCGCTCGTGCGGCTGCGTTGGGCTCAGTTGTCGAGCTCGGCATTTCTTCGTTGTCTGTTGCTCGTGCGGTCGCGCCTTCCAGTCGTCGCCTCTCATCCTTAGGCTCGAGCTGATTTCGCAGGGGCTTCGGGTTTCCGCTCTTGCTCCACGTTCTGGATTCGAAGTTTGGTCTCTGCTTTGCTTTCTTCAATGTTCTTAACGTCACACCTCAATCTATTGAGGATGGCTTCGGACAAATCGTATGTTGCTGCCCTTACGAGTGTACATGCCTCAGGTACTCCCAAATCATGTTTTTTCTCTCCTTCATTTGAGTGAGCGGAGGACATCAAAAAACCAGACAGGAAGAATGGGAAGTCTGTCATTTTTTTTTACAGAAGTTGAAGGTATTCAATTTGCTTCTTCCTGTCGACTGAATTTGGTGGGAAAATTTTTGTATGGTCATCCCAAAATGAAGTTGGTTCGTAAGGAATTTGAGCTTATGCAACTTGTTGGGGAGTGAAAAATTGGACTGTTAGATGGAAGACACATTCTTTTACAACTAAATAATGAAGATGATTACCACGCTTATTTGCTAGAAGGATAATCTGGATTGATAACAGAGCAATGAAGATTCTGAAATGATCTATGAATTTTGACCCACAGACGAAACCACTAATCATTCTGGTTTGGATTCGTCTCTTTGATCTGAAATTTCATTATTTTACTAAAAAAATATTGTATTTTATTGTCTCAACTTATAGTAAGCAACTCAAAACGGACATTCCTACTTTTAATCTTTCTCGCTCATCTGAAGCCAGAGTACTTATTGAAAGAGACATCACTTCATCCGCTTCTGAGGAAATTTGGTTGGGCACACGACATCATAGATATTGACAAAAGGTAGTGATTGAGTCTTTTCCTTCGTATTGTTCGAAATGTCATATGTTCGGCCACTCCAGTTCTCAATGCCACCATCTACACCCCAACTCAGACCAAAAAAGCATAGTGCTCCGCTAAAGGCAATGATTTCGTCTCCTCCTGACCAGCTCCAAGTTATTGACCCTATTGATCATCAAAACACTATTGATCGTCAAAAGGATACCACTGAAGACGTCACTATTCTCGTAGGCAATATGACAATCATTCAGTCCCCAGTTGTAGCTCCCCGGTCTTTGGAACCTCCTATAGTGGGGTAAAGGGACAATCTTCAAACCCCACCTGCCCTAAAACCTATCACCGATATTACAGGTAGCAATACTTTTACTGCTTCACTACCACCTCATCAGGTCGAGCAAGCAGTTAATGTTACTCAGGCTCATGGGGATCATGATGTGCAACAGCCTACACCAGTCTAACCAACTTTGGAATCTCATAATCAGATAAGTCAATCATCGGATGAGGAATGACAGGTCCACACATCCAGGAGGAAGAAAAAGAATGGAGACCTACTTGAGCTCAGAAATATGATGGATGATACTTTGGTTACTTCGAGCAATGTTACTCACCTTACTAATTTGTTAGTCAGCTCACTTCTGAGAAATAGAGGCATAGGAATGACTAAAGTAGGACGTCCCTAGCACTTTTGCGCCCTTTGGTGGCTTTTTGATTTTTTACCTTTATGTATCTTTGCTTTATTTAAGATTTATGTGTGTTGTATTGTGTGAGTTGGGTTTTTTTTAGTTCATCTCATACAACCTTTCTCTATCTTTTTTGTTTTAATATATTAGCCCTTGGGCTTTTTCAATATATATATATTGTAACCTCAATTCTGTTGGTTGACAGGTTTCAGTGTAAGTCCCCTCAGGTCACAGGTTTGATCCTCAGTGGCGCTGGGTTCTCGAATATTTAGTCACATAGCGCGGGCTCTCATCATGAGGCCTAGCCTAAATACCGATTTCCTTTGAAAAAAATAATAAAAAAAAAAAGAGATATATATATATATATATATACGATGGACGGTTCGGGAGCTCTGCTAGAGTTTGGGTCTCCTGGCGACCTGGAGGTGATTTCGGGATGCTGACGGGTTTTCTTCTCTCTCGTCTATCAGATGCTGGTGAGATCTTTCCGTTTGTTTTCTTGTTTTGTCTTCTCCTTCGTGCTAGTCTCCTGTTCCTCGATTCTTCGTTCTCTCACCGTCAATGGCAAAAACTTATGCCGGGGGCTCCTCCTCCGGTGTTGCTCCTACGTTTGCTTTTTTCTCTTCTTTTCATGAATCTCTGATTCTTGGTGGGGAGCATGATTTCATTAAGAAGCAGGGGAAGAAGGGGGGTAAGCTTGCGCTCTTCCTCTTCGACTCTGAAAATACCATTATGGTCTCTGCTTGTCGATTTCATCTGGCGGGTAAGTTTCTCTATGGGCTTCCTAAATATGATTTTCTTCTGAAGCATTTTGAACTTTTGAATTTAGCTGGGGGCTGGAAGATTGGTGCTCTCGACAACAGGCATATTCTGATTCAGTTGTCTAATGAGGATGACTACGCTAAACTTTTTGCTCGTAGAACTGTTTGTTTTGAGGATGTTTGGATGAAAGTCCTAAAATGGACTACTGATTTTGATCCTCGGGCTAAGCTTCCTATTATTTATGTCTGACTTCGGCTACCTGGTTTAAAAGTGCATTTGTTCAATCATGAGATATTGTTTTCAATCACTGCCATGTTTGGTAAATCGTTAATGTTAGATGCTCCAACTTTCAACTTAACAAGGCCTTCAATGACTAGAATTCTAATTGAAAAAGATGTTACTTCCCCCCCAGGAGGTTTTGATAGGTTCAACACATAAGGGATACTGGCAACAGGTTATTCTTGAGAAACACCCTCACTACTGCTCCCACTGCCGCATGTTTGGACATGATTCGACACATTGCTTTCACCTGCACCCTGAACTAAGGAAAATGTTGCAGGTCGTTTGTCCTCTGCTGAGATTAAATCTGCCCATAGAACACCTCCTGCGATTGAGCAAAATGACCCTTGCTTGGAGGAAAATAGTGTTGTTCATCAGGGTGTTGTTGCACACGAGAGCGGTCTGAAGATAATGTAGAACGGGTTTCTGATATACACAATCCACATCTCCCCACAACATCTC